AACTTCTTTGAGGCTGTCCGCATTCTTTGCAAGGCTTTAATTCGTTTTGCCGAAGTGCACTCTTCCTAAAAGGAAGCATCTCTCAGCATGCCGCGTGGAAACGTGTGCCTACGTAAAAGGCCCATTTCCAATTTGACGAGCTGTGGATGCATGTGAAAAGCGCTGCATCCAATCTTCGATCGTCCGTTCGGCAATTGACTTCATATCTTAATCGAGTTAATCGTCGTTCCCTTGCGCCTCAGGTCGGCAAAGAATCTATGAAAGCTATAGGCGCGTACGGTGTTAACCACGAGGGAAACACCGGGGAACCGGAGGTCAGAAAGGTATGCACATTGTCCCGTGTACATAGTCGTGTATAGAGTTCTTCACTACCTTTGCTGCCAAGTGCGTTCAGCGGGGGGTGTATTTGCACGATTGTACACCTGTACATACCATATTGACCTCTATGTTTGGCTCAAGAAAAGGGCGCTCTACATGTTGGTACTTGTAGGCTGTTGGCCTGTAAATTCACAAGAAGCTACTATTGTGCAGAAAGTGTGGTGCTACTCCGTTGAGCTCAGAACTCGAAATCGGCAGAGCTCAGCTAAGACAGGATGTCTCTTCCTGGCTGCGGGTGTTGCTGGTGGCGCCCAAAGCTTTCATGTTGGCCATGACATGGCTGAAAGAAAGGCAGATGAGGCGCTGGGGTGCCCAGACGGGTCCAAAGATGGGCCAAGTGCTACGAAAGCAGGTTTGGCGGGCTGAGTGGATGATGAACAGTCGTCTTGGAGGGAAATGATGGCAGGCAAAGTGTTGCAATAATTGCAAACGTCTATGGTTCTCAGGGCCTGAACCTGTACCAGATGTAGGGTCTTCCCCGTTGGCATACAGCCAATCCATGAATCCATGCTAGGCCCTAGGCGCTAGTGAGGGGCTTCCAGCTTGTATTTCCTTCTCTTTCCTCCGTGCAAGACATTTTTGATGACGTGATTTCGACTTTTTGTTTCAAGGTTCCGCTGGTCCCTTTCAGGCGAAGGACAGAGCGAGTTGGGAGAGACCACACGTCAGACCCGTTGTCTCGTCATCCGTGAAACAGGAGCTGCTGGCGGCTTCGAAAACAAGCTGGTCCAATGTGTCCAGGTGGCTTATGCAATCATGCATCAGTTGCATTGGCATAAAGAATCATGGCATTAGCATACCAAACATATCCAAACATCGCATCGCATCGCAGTTTCAAAGTTTGAAGAGCCTCAAATGCTATGACGTTGCAGGTTGCTCAGAGCACTGGGCTCGGACTTTACCCAGTAAGGCGTAAGGTTGAGGGATTTACTTTTGTTAGATCAGGAAGGGTGCTTGGCTTCAGTTTCCGGGATATTTCAGCGCTTTCCTTGATCTGCTCAGGTCCTTCAGTACTGCGGGTTCGTTCTTCCAAGCTGAGAATTTCAGTCAGGAGTGAGATTCTGCACAGGCGCGGAAGGAATGTTAAAAGCGCGGAGCATAAGTTTGCGCCTGTTGCTTGGAGTTTTCGCACCTCAATTGATCCGGTGGGGTCAGTCGTTTGCACGTGTTGCGACACTTAAGGACCGGACCTTTGGTGGGAAAGAAGTATGAGAACAGAAGCAATCGAAAACGCTACTAGCAAGGACGCTACGAACGGGGCTCCTGGCCGTACTAGGAGCAAGAACGCTACTAGTAACATCTAGTAACAAGAAGCTACTAGGGGCTCCTGGCATCGCTACTAGGAGCAAGGTTGCTACTCCAAGAGCATTACGCCTCGAAGGTCGAAACCAGGGAACTTCTCGGAGACACAGCCACGACCTGTTGCTGACGTGGCATCTTTAGGGTTCAAGGGAGGGGCTTAGGGCTCCTCCACAGCTCCGGGTCCCATCTTGAGCGATGGGGTCAGAATCTCAGTAACAAAACAAGTAGCTTAGATGTTTGGACTGAGTTCTTTGAAAAGTGCTTGCGCTTAGAGTTGCATCAGCCTTACAATGGCTTGCACTGACACATGATGCACGTTTGTTTGCACAACTCAACGTGTATTTTTTTCCCTATCAATTGTGTTCATCCAAAGTCTGACTGGGCCCCTTCACCGCTGAACTCACTGAAGGAAAGCAAGAAAAGAAACAGGAAAAATAACGATCAGATGATAAGATAGTTGCCGTCGGGACTGGTTTTGCAGTCCGGTTGGCATTGCCGTGCTGAGCTGTGCCTCCTCAGGTCTGGTGGTTCTACGGAGAAGAAGAAGAGAGCCTCAGAGAGTGACCCGCCAGATTCATCGAACCGTAGGTGCTTTTGGCGCTTCAGTGTGCTTGATGTTGTTTTTCTCCTCCGGCCTTCAAATTGAAGACCTTTTCATTCTTCCCGTGCCTTTACTGCAAAGAATGTTATGGAAGATAGGGTAATTTGAAGATGCGCCAGAGATTGTTTGGGAACGCAGCAATGTTGCTCGTGTTTTTAGCTTGTTTGGGCCCCAAAAAAGGCCTTGGGATGTGATGGTGGTGGTGAAGGAACATGCGTTGTAGCAGCAAGGGAGTGCTCATGGAATGTGTTTGAACGTGTGCCTTAGATCGTGCAAAACATAAAAGAATATAAAAGCCAACATTTCGTCTCCCACCATATTTTTCCTTGTTTATAGAGCTGCGCAACTGTCACTGGGTGAGGTGAAAAGAAATATGAAGCTGACGAGAAAGATGCCTTTGCAAGTGGGACTGAAAGCATGGATGTCAGCACCAAGCCACGACGCTTGAAGAAGGCACAGCTTGTGATTTTTGTTGGAACGGTCCAGGGTGTGAAACCGAATTCCGAATCCATTTGGCCAAAGCAGACCAAAACATTTGCCAAAACATACCGAAGAGATTTCATCCAGGCCGCCACCCGTGCGAGACTGGAGGAGAGCTGCAACTTGAGAACTTTTTTTGGCATGTTTGTTCCTGGGGGCCCTGGGACCCAGTGGGGGGCAGACTCAGACATTTAGCACTACATTTAGCATTTAGTTCCCAAAGGAGAAACGCCACTCTTTGTACCGTGCATCGTGCAACGTAAAGGCGGACCTCGGCCAACGATCGGCCGAAGTGGCTGCGAGGAGCGATCGACGTCGCCTCGTCCACCAGACCCTCCAGCGGAACAAGTGACTCCAACGACAGAGGCGCATTTGGATGCATTTGGGGACCACCGTCTCGAGACGGTGCACGTGAAATTGTCGATTTGGAACGGGTGGACAGGTATGTGGAGTCGACAAAGAGTGAGAGAGAGAGAGAGAGAGCTGAGTCGCGAGCTGTTTCAGCCGTTTCCTCACTCATCTCACTGGATCCGAGCTGGCCGATCCAGGTGCGCCCCTGCGACCACTGTGGGGAGATGCGAAAAACCACCAACTTCTTTCGCGGCGAGGAAGTCGATACCCTAGTCTTCGTGGTGAACAGACATGCAATACCTGCACCAGAGCGAGATGCATTTTCAAACGGCACTGGAATTGGCAATATAGCAGCATGTAGCATCAAAGAACACAGATATCAAATTGAGTATTTCAATATGATCTGATGCGCTGCGTACGAACTGTTCCCCTCGTTTGGCATTCGCAGTGCCCTTGTGCATGGGGTTTTGTCATTTGGCATGATCTTCCACCATGGATGTAGGGCAGACTTGTGTTGATCGTGATGTTGCTGCTGAGCTGGAGTAATTAGTTGAGATATAGCTAGTAGCAGCTGGCCGCTAGCCTGAAACTCTGAGTGCACTTCAAGCGAGCCCATTCCCTTCCTCCCCACCGAACCCCCCCCACCGTACTCGGCCCCGAGTCCCAATGGCTGTGTGCAGCATGCCAGCTCACCAACGGAGGCCGATTTGGGATTTCTCAGATCTCTCTCTCAATCATTAGAGGCAGTGCCTCACCTCAGGAAGAGCAGCGTTACCAAGCATTCTTGCGACCATGGATGGCAATTGTAGGACAAGAAGAAAGTGCTGGATTTGAACCCTGTGAAGAGGTAGATCCCGATTTTTGAGTGGGTGGCGTCTTGCGGTTCTTCAGGAATTAGCCAGTAAAAAGGGGACCGTAGGCTCTTCACAAAAAAGGAGACTAGAAGGGGACTGACCTCTTCCCTGCTTGGCAAGCACACACGCACACACCAAGTGGTGCTAGGTCAAGACCGGCAAATGAGGGCATTTCCTGAAAATCCTAAGTGGCGTTGGGTCATGGTGTGGCTTCAGATTTTGAGCAGGGACATTTGGCATGGTATGCATGAGAGGTGACAGGCTGTGAAACGGCAAGTGTGCACGGCTGAAAAAGTGAGAAGTCACCCAACAAACTATTTAACTATCAGGCTCCTTAATGCCGTCAGCGGTATATAAGGCAACATCCTAGCGAGACCAAAGCTAAAAGGACAAGGGAACCGGTTTTGCAATGCACCAACACCATCTCCTGGGCGCGGGTCGGGGTTGAAGTCGTCACTGCTGTCACCTGGTGTGGCAATTTCTTAGTGTCATTTCCTCGTCAAAAACAGGCATAGTGCCGAGGGCTCTCACAGTTGAGCTGCTGACCTACCAACGAGATGAAGAAGCAGAACCCCCTCACCAGCAGCATCAATAGAGGGCACCAACACTGGCAGGTAAATAGGTGCATCAGGCGGCACTGCATCTTCGACCGGCAACCCCCAAGAATGCATGTGGTGTGATCGTGAAAAACAAGTGGAAACACATCGTAAAAGACTTCATTGTTCAATATTGTTCAACATGTTTTTCTTGGTGTGTCTATGATTTTTTGAGCGCTTTTTCTTGGCGGCCCCCAAAGGAGTTTGAGGTCTCCATGCCGAAAGGAGGTGATAAACGGATATAAACGGTCGATATCCGCTGAGAATGTAGCGGCTTCGACACAGCCTGAGCCCTGTTGATTTCTTGGTGGAACCTGGTTACGGGATATGTCGGGATCTGGTGTGTAATGGCTGTTTTTGGGTCAGGGCTAGGTTCAGGAACAGCAGGTGATTCATTGACCGCATCAGTTTTTGGCTCAGACTCCTTTGAACGTGGCCATGACAGTGGTACATGGCACAGTGGTGCAGGGCACCGTGGTCGGACAACCTGTGGTTTGGGAGGATCGATGGGGTTATCCCGTTGGACAACCGGTAGGACCGGTTGTGACTGATGACCAAGGCGCTCAATCAGGTTGGTTTCTCTATGCCATTGGCTGGGCTCTTTGCTGTTGTTTTGGGCCTGTTGGGCCCATCTTTTGGCTGGTCGTGGGCTGCCGCCATTTCTGCAAGCCCGAGGAGGAAAGGAAACGACTTCCGCAAGAAGGTCAAGTGGCATCAGTTTCACTTGTGACTGCTCTCCTCACCATGGCTCTCAATCTGGTCTTGATGACGATGCTCTTAGGTATGATGCCATCCAGTGTCAGTAGAAGTGCGGACAGATTTCGCTGAAGACATCTCGTGATGTTGCGAACCCAACTTTGAAGGAGTTAGCTCTACATACACAAACATAGGTACTTGCGGCAGACAATCCGCAAAGCGTGATGCCTGCCATAGCCCCAAGCGCGCAGACTCTAGGGCCAGCATCGCACTCAAGGGGGTGCCGTGATCTATTTCTTTGCGCAGACCGTTCCGTCACATTCCTGCAGACGTAAAACAGACACCACACTTTGCTCTAGCAACAAGACGCTACGAACGGGGCTCCTGGCATCGCTATGGGCAAGGATGCTACTAGGACTAGGAACAAGAAGCTAGTGACAGCTACTTTGCTATCACTCGATGTGTTGCTCTTCGCTTGCTTCTTTTCGTTTTTGTCCGACTGACGCTGTTTCTTTGGTTCTTCGGATGCTCGAATTGTTGATCACAGTTTTGGGTCCGGCTTTTGGATTGCTGAAGAGGCTTGGCATTTGGTGCACGCTCGAAACAGAAGAGGCGCCAAACGAACAGTGGTGTGACACGCGTGCACTTTGGGAGAGAAGGCCTAACAGGTCTAACATGCAGTCAAGGGAGTGCAAGGAGCGGCATTTCATTGTCATTGATATATGGTCTACTATGTAATAGGTCGACAGGTCGACCACAAACCATTATGAGGCCACTTTTGTTTAATTGACATGGTGTGACATCATGCATTCACAAACCAAGCATTTTAAGCTCTTTTTGTAGCTTTTCAGTAAGCTCCAGGCTGGGTGCAGCCCAGACGCCTCAACCTCAGAGTTGTCTTCTACAGTAGGATGCAACGACTTGAAGTTGAAGGCATGGAGTAGAAGCACAGCACACACGTCGTTTACACATGAGCCCAAATGTCCCACCAAAAGGATGGGTATGCTTTACGGAGACTGCTACTAGGGTGGAGGCCATCGCAAGGAGGTTGGAGGCCATTGCTACTAGTTATATAGATTTATCATTTTTTTCTGTCTTGGATCACTCGAGGCTAAAGCCGCAGCCTGTCTTCAGAAGACAAGGTAGCTCCAGCAACGTCCTGAGGACGGCGCATTTCCTCTCTCAAGCTTGAGTTGAGAGGCCAGCGCACGCCACGACATAGGCATAGGCGGCATAGACATTTTGCAATTGAGTGGTTTCACTTGTCAGCATAGAGCACAGACCAATGAGCAGCAGAAAGACGCCCGGCAGGAGCAAGCAGAGCTCTGGGGATGGCTCAGACAATGAGAGCGACAAGGGAACCGTCACCTCGAGACCCCGAAGGTGCGCAAAACCATTCGGCCAACACCATGAGCAAAGTTTGGGGCAACGCCCTGAGGCGGTAAGAGCAATATTTGGTTTGGTGAGAGCCTGGAATGTTTGGCTTGCCGAGTTGGAATGATCTAGAACCCCAGCCCAATGGAAGGGTGTACAATGTGTACCATAAACAAGTTCGCTAGAAACAACATGAACAACATCCAACGAGCTCGACAGATGTTGCCATTGTTTTTCTGTATTTACCTCGTTGGGAGATTGACAGACAGAGTGACAGAGCAATTGGGCCTGCCAAATGATCCATGCAGTCACCCGGTTGACAGGGTAAAAGACAAAAGTCAATTTTGTTGGTTTTTGTGCCGGAGAGCCAGCAGCGGAGACAAGTATATATAAATAGAAGAAAAGCAATTTATTTTGGAGTACAAGTGTGCAAAGATCATTGTTATTCATTTTGTGGAAGACTATTCGTTTCAACAGGCGTGGCCGCTGCAAGACCAACCACCAAGACAGCAGAGCACTCAGAGCTGAAGAAGACTAAGGGCAAGCACACGCACACAATAGGAGACCTGATCTTATATGGGTATGTATACATGTATACCAATTACACTATATCGCCTTTAGAATCAGGGACTCTTGCAGTATGATTTTTTGTAGTTTAGCTTGCCCACAGGCAAGCATTTGTCAGGTAACCCCGAGGAGAAGGATGGCTAAGTAGGGGCGTTAAGTAAGCAGCAAATAACTCAAATATGAAGTTAGAAGAGCGACGGCTTCCTTGACGACCTCTTTTTGAGCAACAAATGAAAGATGCTTAACCTAATTAGCAGCGATGGCCTCCACCCTAGTAGCGATGGCCTCCAACCTACTAGCGATTGCCTCCAACCTAGAAGCGTCCTTCTTCTTCCATTCTTTTAAGATTGTAAGCAGAGGCAGTTCACAGAGGCAGTAGGCGGTGCCTCTCAGCTGAGGTGAGCCTGGCCGCCACCTCAGATGGTTGTCATTGAGTGGGATTGATTATGATAGATTATGTAAGAAGCAGTACTTGATGGGCTGAGGACCTAAAATATAGAGACAAACTTTTTGCCACACACTTGTGAGGATTTTTTGCCTCTTCAGATTCTGATCGAAGAGACAAACATCAGACGTTTCATGGGAACTCCAAGGCTTGCGTGTGCCGGGTGAGACTGATGATGGCTCGTCGGGAGCTTGAGTCAGTTGGAGTCGGATGAAGATGACCCGAGAAGTTACTACTAGCAAACATTGTTACTACTAGTAAGGCACTTGTTACTAGTAGCGTGGCACTTGTTCCTACTAGTAAGGACAATTTGCAAGCATCCTGGGCAAATCCTTACCCTGTTGGGACAAGTGACCTGTGCAATGCCAAGCATTTTTTGCCATGATTCGGGGGGTGCTTGTGCGTCTCAGGCCGGGTCGACGCGCAAAGCTCACCCGTGCTAGCACCGCCAATTTGGGCGGTAAGCTGTCGGATTCCTCAGTTAAAGATGCGAGACCTTGGTATTCACACCTTGTGCATGTACCAGGAAAAGCAGTCCTTATCTCGTCTTCAGTGCGACTCAAACTCAGGAAAGCTCCAGATTCGAGTCTTAGACAAGTCTCCCTGGCAAGTTGCTTGTTGTTGTACTGCTTAGCCTCAACTCGCCACGTGCTCTAGAATGTAGACAGTTCGATTCCTTGGATAAAGCCAGTTGGCCTGTCAGCAGTTTTAACTTGACAGTCCAAGATGTGTGCCATGCGGCAGTGCCATGCTGTGTCATGATCTGTGCTTGGGTCTCTTCAATTGAGGCTATCACAGAGGCCCAAACGCTTTCCGTTCTCTACTAGGGGCTTCTGGCCTTACTGCTAGGAGCAAGGACGCTACTAGGGGCTCCCGGCATCGCTGCTAGGAGCAAGGACGCTACTAGGGGCTCCTGTTCTCTCTTCAGTAAAACACCATGGACGCCGAATCGCGAGATCTTCAGCTCAAAGCACGAGTGCAATTGCCGCTCCAAGACGCCATGGCGGACACAAAGCCCAGGAAGAAGATCACCGCGGTTTCTTTGGCAGAGCATTTTGCGTTCTTAGGATGGCATTCTGTGGCATTGACCACAGTTTGCCATCTCTTTTTTGGACTGCTAATTTCTAGAGAAGAGAGGTAGGCTACAAGCTTTGACAACTGCAGTAGGTTTTTGATCCTCAAGCATCCTTATTTTCTCAATGTCAAGAACCAAGCACGAATGCAAAAAGCATCGTGACACCGATGTTTTGCTGTTGCGAATGGATGTCTTGAGCCACTGTGGTGTCACGGTGACAGCAAACGCTTACAACATGCGATGCAGACACCTGCATATGATGTTGAGGCTGAACTGGCACAGCACAGTACCGATTCGAACGCATGGATGGCCTGTCATGGACTTGTCTTGAACCTGAGTAAGGTGCAGATCCAGTGCCAAAATGTGGGGAGTTTTATTTGCGTTTTATTTTGTTGCACGCCCATAATTGTGCCATTTCATGTAGAGCTCGCGGAAGAGTATATTGTCAAGATGGGAAATCTGAGTGAGTTTTCGTTATTAGGAGCAAGGACGCCACTAGGGGCTCCTGGCCTTACTACTAGGAACAAGAAGCTACTGGGGGCTCCTGGCATCGCTACTAGGAGCGATCGGACGCTACTAGTGTGGCCAGCCAGAGGTTGTCTTTGCTTTGCTCAGTCGAAGCAGGAATTCCTTGAAGAACATCCTGGTGGCCCTGACGTGGTCGTTGCATTGGCTGGCAAGGAGCATTGATATATCTTTTGTGAAACATACCGGATTAGGTGCGATAGCACTTGGAACAGCATAGGTGCAGCAGATAAGGGTATAACGCCCGTGACGAAAGTTGATGAGTAAAGTTGATGACATCCATTTGAGGCTCAGGTACTGTAAGGTTGTGTCAGTTTCCTGGCCAAAGTGTCACTTTTGCAGGATGGGACCCAGGACTTCGAGGATATCTCTCACAGCGACAGTGCTCGCGAGTGGGCCAATAAGTGCCTCGTTCGGTTGTCAAAAAGGTTGATCATCCTGCAAATTCTCTAGCCGCGACAGGGTGAACACCACTCATGAAAATGATCTGAAATGGATCAACATCAGCGGTTGCAGTGAAATTACAAACAAGATAAGGCAGGCCTCGGAGAACTTGTTAAGATGATTGCATCACCCTGCCACTCTTTTTGACTCATTTCCCCTCCCAAGGCTGATCATCGGCTACATGAAGGGAACGGAGGAAGAGGAGAGCGAGAGAAAGGTGAAGATCGTTCCGAAGCATGCCGAGGACAGTGACAATTGGAAAGTACTCAGCTTTAGGAGGAGATTCGTTCAATTGCAAGATATTGCAAGTCTTTGATCAACCAAACAACCGTATCCAATCTCATTCATCCATATAGAGTGTTGTGAAGGGAAGGAAGGAAACAAGGTCTAACAAGGAAAAGATAAGATACAGCAAGAATCAACAAGACAAGAAAAGAAAGAAGACAAGACAAGTCAAGGTCTTTTGTTGGTGTATATATATATATGTCTATTATTTTCTCACTTGATTTTTTATTTGCACATCACACTTGGTCGACAGAGGGTCCACTTGCGAGGCTGCTCGAGGAGGCGGCGGTGGAGGAGGACTTGGTGCCTTTATCCCTGCCGTCTTGGTCGTGATTCTGGCAGGGGCGGCCTATTTCTTCCTGAACAAGTCCTGAGTGCCGTGTACCAAAGCCGAAGCCACAAGCTACCGCAGGCGCAGCGCCAATGGCACTGCTGGAAGAAACTGTCACCCGGATTTTGCCACATTTTGCGAATCTTCGTGTTGAAAGCAACACCGCGACACCTAGACTCTCAGAAAAAGTGTCAGATGGTGCGTTTCCAACTGTCATGATCTTCTGCTTGGATGCGCCATGGCACAATGCAGTGCAAAGCTTCGGGTCGCAGTGGTTCGGGGCCAGAATCATATTGTTCTAAACATGAAAGGCTGAGAACAATTTGGTGCCAGGGCTTTGCGGAGACGAAGCAAGACCCGGTAGAGATAGTGAAGGACTTAAAGATGCTCAAGGCTTTCACCAGCAGTCTGAGAGGCCGAGGAATAATCGATGAAATCAACAAGTAGACTGGGTTTACTGGGAGGGTTCTGTTGGTTTTGGAGGGGTTGAGCTTCATCGTGTCACATTCTTTAAGCCACTGGCAGCTGTTTCTTTCACCAAGGATTCACCCAAAACGATGCCTTCCAAGAAGGCGCAGACTTTCCAGCATGCTCATGTTCGTGCTCAATAAAAGGAGCAGTAGATAGATCAGTATAGATCAGTAGCTCTGACTCCAACATGAAGTCAGAAGCGGTGACTTTTTCACGTCACGGTTTGCGTTTCAAGGGGCTACCTTGATCAAACCTTGATCCCATCCAGTCTTTACCCTGCTGTTTACTTTCTTCCAGACACATCAGCAGATGGACGGTGTTTTATGCCGCATATTATTGTGTGGCTTATTGTGGTAAGTGGTACATAGGCAGTGGATTGACTGCAGATTTTGACTGCAGATTGGGTCAAACACGGTTGAGGCCTTGGAGAAGAACATTGTCGAGAACGAAGAAGCCCAGAAGGCATTAAGCCCAGCAGATCTGAGATCCAGATAGATCCAGAGTGTGCTTTGGGTTGACCATGTGTGACAGCCGTTTAGCCTTTCTTGCTGGACAGTCTTGTGACGGGAAAGAGGAGAATTTCGATGCAAGGAATTCTTTCAATCCACTGAATTCACTTGTTCCTAATAGCTTCTTGTTACTACTAGTAAGGCACTTGTTACTACTAGCGTGGCACTTGTTACTAGTATTCAAATTTGGCCATAGATGCGAGTGTAAAATCTGAGCTTGCCCAGCAATGCACGTTGCATGATGTTGCATGCCGGCAGGTGCCACCATTGCCGCAGCGAACGTTGCCTGGCGGTTTCACTGTGGGCGAGCGGGCAGTCACCATGGCTTGTTTCGACTTATGGCTGTTGCTTCGATATGCAGCGTAGCTGAGCGGAGCTGGAATGCCTACTGAGAGACCATTTTCCCTTAGCGCCTTAGGAGGCGGAGGTGCTTTCTTCGTGAGAGGAGGAGGGCCGACAATTTGCTCCTCATTCCGTGTCTCATTCCATGGCAGGTCACTCTCATTTCCAGAGAGGCGCAGAACCAGTCGCGGACCCCGGCGTGTTTGATCACACTCCTGCGGCCAAAAGTTGTCCATGTGCGCTTTTTTTTCCTAAACAGCTTTCTTCGGCAGCAGGTGATTTGGGAAGCCGATCTCAAAGGTAACGAGGACGCTACTAGGTGGAGGCCATTATTAGGAGCAAAGGGCATCGCTACTAGGAGCAAGAACGCTACTGGGGGCTCCTCCCCGTACTACTAGGAACAAGAAGCTACTAGTAACAAGAAGCTACTAGGGGCTCCTGGCCTTACTACTAGGAACAAGAAGCCACTATAGTAGCAAGGAGGCACAGAGTGACGGGAAGTGGAAGACCTTCTATCATGGCCAGGTTGTTAATGGAGCTTGGCCAAGAGGGCAACATTGTCGGAGCGGCTTGTGGTCTCAGCGTGCTCCGGTGTTGTGTGAGAATGGGCAATTGGGCCGCGTAGTGGGCTGAAAAGTGTTCTCATGTGCTCTTGCTTGCTATACCTTGCGGTCACTTTGTAGCAATGGTGTCAAGTCCAAGACTGAAATCCAGGGATAGTAGTGGAGAGATTGAAGATATCCTAAGACCCAAGGAAGGACCACAGTAGCATCCTAAGGTCTTTGGCCGCGTAGTTGTTCAAACAGACACCAGACGAGTCACTCAGGTCGAGCAACGGTGTGGTGGAGATGTAGACCTGCGGCTTCTGGTCCTGGACTTAGAAGAGGCAGATCAAAGAGCCCCAGGAGAGAAGGACGATCAAACAGATCCGCAAACTGTCATTAGTTCCAGACATGGCTGAAGTGCCGTGCGCTACAGAATTCAAACAGATTTCAGTAGGCCGTGCACTATTACGATGAGTGAAACTGCTGAGAGCAGTTTTAGTTTGTATATGTTGGTATCTTTGAAATGCTGAGAGCTGAGGTTCAGTTCCCACGTGGGGTCAGCTGGAACTACTGGCATGGTTATGGTTACATCGTGGCAACTGCATGAGAAGAGTGAACTGGCTATTGTTTGGGCGAGGAAGTGCAACCAATAGTAAGCTTATTAAGCCCGTTGCTTCAATCTGAGTCGATGCCTCTTTCCATTGGGTTTATCTATGCAGAAGGAATTTACCGGTTTTACATTCGAGTGGCATCGAGTACGTGTTTGTTTTCGGCCCCTATCCCAGCAGGCAATCCACTTGGTTTGTTCTACAGAGCCACGGTGTGCTTGGACAGCGGACTAGTGGCAATAGACCACCCGCTAGCAGGAATCGTAGGGGGCGAGCTATGAAACCTTGCTTGTGGCTGGATAACCCATGCTTTCTATAAAATGAAGTTTGAAAACAGTGAACTCTCCCCTTGACTGTTACCCTTGACTGCTATCCTGGCAATGAGGCTATTATGAGTTCATTCATGCGATTCCTGGGTAATTTTTATCACGTTGTCCAAAAGTGGCAGGTGGCTGTCACCATCACAGCTCAGCCGGGGGTCCTCCAGATTGGGGAGCATGGGATGGCCTCCATCCTCATAGCGATGCCCTCCAACCTAATTGCGCCAGCATGTTGCCAAAGCTGCTGCATCACAGAATCTAGTGACTCTAGTGAGGGTTTGTGGCAACAATCTGGACGCTATTCTGGATATTTTTTGCGTGCAACATCTTACGAATTGAATTTGTGCTTCATTCGCATTTGGTATGCCGTTTCTTGTTGGTTTTCTACCCCTTCTCATCGCCCAGCTCTAGTATCTACCTTGAGGAACCTTTAGCAGGTGATTGTTTATGTTTGTGAGACGATGTCGTCAACCTTTGCCTCTGACATCTCGTCTGTGAGATGTCTCCCAGGTCAACCTGCACAGTTTGGAGCTGCACGTGCTGCGGGGATCTACGGATTTAGCTGGGGTGCTCGAGCAGGGGCCCCAGACCCTGCAGCGCCTCATGAGCTTCATGATCCGCGAAAGCCAAGTGTCTCATGAGGGTCTGTCTATTTTTCGCTTGCACAATGTCTTTCGATTTTCGCTTGCAGCGTCTGTCTTCCATTTCAGGTACGCTCCTTGGTGACATTGCTGAAGCCTCAAAAGGCACAGCAGGAGACGGGAGCCGAGCCTGGAATTGTAGTGCCGTGTGAAACAGATCTACTGGGCATTACATCGACCAAACGGCAAACAGCTTGATAGCTTGTTCGACACGGATTGTGTGGAGTTGAGGCTCACTTGAAGGTGGCATATGGCATGCCAGATGCTGATTTTTGAGGGCAGTCTCGCTTGGCAGTCGCCCTGTCGTCAACTTTGTCGCTCTACTCTGGCTCAAGTTGGGCTTCCAAAACGGAAAGACATGCCGCTCTTCCAGGCTCGGCGGCTCCGCCAGTGGAAACAACAAAAGCCTGGCATTGTCGTTGTCAGGTCTTGCGGAGCTTGGGGAAGAGCAGGCTCGGCTGAGCAGGCTCAATGCCTGTAACTTGCCGAAAGAGTTTCAAGACGTTCACCCAGTCCAAATAAGATAAAGGACATTTGTCACCCAGTCTGTTCGTGCTAAGCACCAGAGGCCCTTTTTCAGCACCTGTCGCCCAAGCCCGTTACCCTCAACCCTAGCTGGCCATGTAGCCCAGAAAGACTGTGAGTGGCACGAATGGTTGCAAGTGAGAACTGGAGACTTTATGGACCTTTTGTTGTCACCCACCAACTCTAACCTTCTGAGATACAAGCCATTCATAATCTTCACATTTTGCATGTAATTTGCATTACAAGTCGACGTTCCCCTGTCATTACAAGTCGACGTTCCCCTTTGTTTTCTCATGTTTTCTCCAGAGATGTCAGCACTGCGACGATCGGTCTCCACCGAGGTTTCCAAGTTCGAAGCCTTCAACGTGGCGGCCGAGGCCGACGACGCGACGCCCTCGATGACTGAGACGCAGGTGAAGCACTGGCTCTCGGGGCCCAAAAAGCGTGACGGGGTGAATCTCGGTGAGCAAGGACGCAGGTGAAGCACTGGCTCCTGGCCTCGCTACCAGGAACAAGGGCCTCACTACTAGGAACAAGAAGCTACTAGGAAACAATAAGTAGAATTTAATTAGAATCTAATTAAACTTTAGTTAGAATTAGAATTAAATTTAAAGTAGAAATAAATGATAACATTAATATGAATGGTATCGCTGGCAGGTTGGAGGTTGGAGGCCATCGCTGGTAGGTTGGAGGCCATCGCTAGCAGGTTATCGCTAGTAGGTTGAAGGCCATCGCCAGTAGGTTGGAGGGAGTCGCTATTAGGTTGGAGGCCATTGCTTTTAGGTTGGAGGCAATCGCTGGTAAGTTGGAGGCCAAGGCCACCGTTATTGGGTTGGAGGCCATCGCTGATAGGCCACCGCTATTGGATTGCGCTATTTGGATGGGGGGCATCGCTATTGGGTTGGATTCCAAATGGTTTCAAACTGAATGTGTGGTTTAAATCTTGGTCCTAGGATAGCTATTGTTCAGTTTGATCTTTTTTTTTCGGCATTAGCATTCAGCTCAGGAGAGCGTATCAAATTGCTCCAATCCACGTGGGCATGTGCCATCCTCCACAGTCAGAGGCGGTGCAGCGTGATTTG